CCTACATGTCCATGGAGCAGTTTGGAAGAAAGGGGGGTTATTATCAAGCTGTAACTCCCCAATCAAATAGGGGCTGGAAATTATTACTCTTCTTAAGGCTGTACACACCTACCTAAGGAGATAGCTGTAATTCACCGCAAAGGACATCAAAGGATATGACCTTAGGAACAAATGGAAAGGAATACAGGGTTTTATGCCAGGCCACTGATGTGGGTAAAAAGGCCTTAGAGGTGAGAGAAATTTTGCAAAGAAAAACTGTCCCTATATTTGGACTTCCTTCATCCGTACAAAGTAACAGCGGACTGCCTTTTATTATACATTCAAAAGATGGCTCTCCAAAACTCAGCAGTCCTAGATACCTTGGCTGTAGTTACAGAAACCCAGAACTACAGGACTGTCTTCTAACAGGACCCAGTGGCTCTGCGGCCCTAACTTGTGTCCATAGCTTTCCCCAAGCTAGACAGGCCACTGTACTCTGGGTTTTGCCTGGATGCACAGATGCATTATTAAAACCATCACCAACCCAGCCAACCTTGCAAATATAAAACAATGGCGGACACGGTTTGTATTACGTTAGTATAACGACCGAGCAGCCACCTTTGTTCCCTCTTTGAGACCTGAAGATGTTGCTTGGTTCATGGAAGCTCTTAAGTACACAGGAAAGGCCCTGAATGATCCCCACAATAGCGTTTGCCTGCTACACACTGAGATGACACAAATGCGTAAAGCTAGTTCTGCAAAATAGGACGGCATTAGATGTTTCAACTGTTACACAAGGTGAAACTTGGGCTAGCATAAAAATAGAATGCTGTGGGGGCGCCTGGGTGGCTCAGTGGGTTAATGCCTCTGCCTTCGGCTCAGGTTGTGATGCCGGAGTCCTGGGATCGAGCTGCTTCCCCCTCTCTCTCTGCCTCTCTGCCTACTTGTGATCTCTGCCTGTCAAATAAATAAATAAAATCTTAAAAAAAAAAAAAAAAAGAATGCTGTGTATTCAGTCCGGATTACCACAAAATACTTCTGGGTTTCTCCCTGATGTAAATACTAAAATTGGCACTTTAAATAATCCCTCTCTTTCCTTTAATGATTTCTTAAATACCCGGACTGGGAAGGATTTTTGTCAACTACCAAAGAACCCTTATTTGAGCATCTCTTTTTTTTTTTTAATTTTAAAGATTTTTATTTATTTGACAGAGATTACAAGTAGGCAGAGAGGCAGGCAGAGAGACGGGGGTGGGGAGTGGGAAGCAGGCCCCCTGCTGAGCAGAGAGCCCCATGTGGGAGCTCAATCCCAGGACCCTGGGATCATGACCTTAGCCAAAGGCAGAGGCTTTAGCCCACTGAGCCACCCAGGAGCTTGAGCATCTTTTCCTTTTTGTTTCACTAACCACGTTTTGCCATTTTCTCCCATGTCTTCCCACTGGGTGTTGACTGCTTTGCTGCCATAACGTCACGTCAACAGATGAGCCTTTCCACTTGGGAAGATCCCTTGAGCAGTTTCCCCTGGACTCAGCTGCCTCTGCCTTTCGCAGCTCCCCTATACGTTCCCCAGCTGACCAGTATTGACGCATAGGGAGGGACTTCTCTAGGCCCCCATTCAGCAGGAAGAAATTACAGAAGATGAGACCTTCCACCTTCAACAACCTTAAAGATTGAAGGATCAAAATTTTCAGGGGGGAAATGATGAGGGAACAGAAGGCTGGCTGAAGACAAAGCAGAAGTTCGCACCACGCGATCCCATCCTGCTCCTGGGTGGGCCCTGGGTGACACTCTTCCAGGAATCTCCCAGCTATCTTTCTTCTTTTTTTTTTAATTAACATATAATGTGTTATTTGCCCCAGGGGTACAGGTCTGCAAATCATCAGGCTTACACATTTCACAGCACTCACCATATCACATACTCTCCCCAGTGTCCATAACCCCACCACCCTCTCCCTACCTCCCTTCCCACAGCAACCCTCAGGGGTTTTTTTTTGTGAGATTAAGAGTCTCTTATGGTTTTTCTTTCTCCTGATCCCATCTTGGTTCATTTTTTCCTTCCTTACCCCCCCCCCACAGCCACCCACCTGCCTCTCAAATTCCTCCTATTAGAGAGATTATATGATAATTGTCTTTCTGTGATTGACTTATTTCGCTCAGCACAGTACCCTCTAGTTCCACCCACGTAGTTGCAAATGGCAAGATTGCAGTTCTTTTGATGGCTGCATAGTATTCCATAGTATATATATACCACATCCTCTTTATCCATTCACCTGTTAATGGACATCTAGGTTCTTTCCATAGTTTGGCTCTTGTGGACATTGCTGCTATGAACATTCAGGTGCACGTGTCCCTTTGGATCACTACATTTGTATCTTTAGGGTAAATACTGAGCAGTGTGATTGCTGGGTTATAGGGTAGCTCTATTTTCAGCTTTTTGAGGAAACTCCGAGCTGTTTTCCAGAGTGGCTGCACCAGCTTGTATTCCCACCAACAGTGTAGGAGGGTTCCCCTTTCTCCGCTTCCTCCCCAACATCTGTTATTTCCTGACTGGTTAATTTTAACCATTCTGACTGCTGTGAGGTGGGATCTCACTGTGATTTTGATTTGTATTTCCCGGATGCCGAGAGATGCAGGAATCTCCCAACTATCTTAACGTTAATACCTTGCTAGAGGGAAACACAACCTCAACTTGACAGTGGCAAGGCCTCCAGTATCTTGCAGGTCCTCTTTAGCATATGAAAGTTCTTTTGAAACCTTCATTTTTCCTTACCTTCCCCCCCAACTTGTAGGCCCTCTTCTGACTCTGGTGCAGCTCTTTCTGTCCACTGGGTCCTGTCCCTATGCTTTATTTATTTATTTTTTAAAAGATTTTATTTATTTATTTGACAGAGATCACAAGTAGGCAGAGAGAGGGGAAGGGAAGCAGGCTCCCCACTGAGCAGAGAGCCCTATGCAGGGCTTGATCCCAGGACCCTGGGATCATGACCTGAGCTAAAGGCAGAGGCCTTAACCCACTGAGCCACCCAGGTGCCCCCCTGTGCTTTAATAAAAATCTTTTTTTGTTTTTTGCATCTCAAGAATTCTTTGTTGCCCCACCCTAACATCTTTCCTACATCAGGGGGTGTTGTTATCTGAAGGCTTGAGTGGAGCTGGAGGTTTTGCTTACGAAGTGGTCCACCCACATGGTTGAAGGTCTTGGTGCTTCACCACATGTGTTTCTCTGGAAGATGACTGCTTGAGCATCCTTACAACACAGGCTGGCATCCTCAAAGCCAGGATCCAAAGGTGCCTGAGTGGCTCAGTCATTGAGCGTCTGCTTTTACAGCTCAGGTCATGATCCCAAGGTGCTGGGGTCGAGCCCCTATCAGGCTCCCTGCTCCACGGGAAGCCTGATTCTCGCACTAACACTCCCCCTGCTTGTGTTCCCTCTCTGTCAGGTAAAATCTTTAAAAAATAATAATAATTTAGTCATCTGAGAGAGAGCACAACAGAAGTTGCAGTAACTTTTATGACCTAACTTTGGAAGTCACACTCTGTTATTTCCACAATATCATACTGATCACATTGCTCAGCCCTATTCAGTGTGGGAGGGGACCAAACGGGGCATGAATACCTGGGGAGTAAAATCATCGGGTGCCATCTTGGACGTGGGCTTCAAAGTTCCAGTGTGGCATCTTCGTTGTTACTTCAGAACTAAGTTTTCTCCCCACTACTCAGTGGCTGTATTGTTTAGTGGTCTGTAGCTACTTTAAAAGCCCTCTCTAGTTAAGGCAAAGGGAAGGCTAACTTACTGGGCTGGAATAATAGGCACAGATAACATTAGCTTCAAATAGGAAACACTATTTCCTCCAAGGATATGCTGTCTTTCAGGAGACTTTGTTCCCTAAAATCATAAAGTATTGAAATTTTTATCAGTAAAAATGAAACATCCCACTTTTCCTTGTAGTCATTTGAAACAAAATAGCAGCCTAGATTTCCAGTCTAGGTGCAGAGCTTCACATAAAGGGTTTCTGGACCCAATACTCTACATCTGGATTGACCTTGTAGTTTCCAGGGGGTAGAAGACCCTGGTTCCACTTCACAGTCTGTGCCTGATGTTGACCCTGCCTTGAGCCCATCATTTAGTTGTCACCTAAGTTCTAACCTTCTGGCAAGTCCTATAGTAACTCTACCATTTCCTTTGTCAAGATGCTCCATGATTTCTCTCCGTGTGATCTCCATCATCACAGTGGGTCAGTAAACTTGACTTTGTCAGGCTGTGTTCTGGTGGTGGTGGTAGGCTGATGTATTAGGATTCTTATGATCTTACTGCTACGGCTCCCACCCACTTTAGGACCTAGATACCCTCTCTTATATGCTCCACCGTTCATTATCTGACCCCAGTCTATTTTCTAATCTTGGGTTTTTTCTTCTTTCTCAAAGGAGATACAATTCCCATGTGGTAAAGTGCACATTTCGTATGTGCAGCTCCATGAATTTTCAGCATGTTTACCCAAGTAATCATCACCTAGATCAAGATAAAAGCTCATTTCAGGTCCCCCCAGGTGCCTGACTTGGGGTCCTTCCCCTTTCATACCCTTCCAGTCCCTCTGCATAGATTAGTTTTACCACTTTTTGAACCTCACATTCCTTTTGTTTTCACAAAAACAACTCACAATCATCTGAAACGTCCTGCTTCAGAGGATGATAACTTTGGCCTCCGGTGTTCCTTCTGTTCTGGCGAGGGCTCAAATCCCACCTGAAACTTCCAAAAATACTGCACAGAGGAATGAATGAAAGTTCACAGCTGCCTTGGAACAGGCGGCGGGTAGAAGAGCGCCACGGGCAGTTCCTACAGGGAAGTGTGGATTCCACGGTCACGTGATCGGGGCCGACGCTTCCCCAGCAGGTGAGGCAGGTGCGTTCACGTGACCGCGCGGGCGTGCGGGGCGACAGCGCGCGGCCGCCATTTTGCGGGGCGATCACGTGAGGAGGCACGCTCAGCGGGGCGGTCACGTGACCAGGGGCGTGCTGCGGCCGCCCGGGCGGACCCGGCGAGAGGCGGCGGCGGGAGCGGCGGTGATGGACGGGTCCGGGGAGCAACCCAGAGGCGGGGGTGAGGCGGGAGGCAGACGGGCGGGAGGAGGGCGAGCCCCCTCGCCGGCTGGCCCCACGATCCCTCCTGCCGGTCTGGGGCCGTGCGATCTCCAAGCACTCCGGGGCAGAAACTCCCGGATCGGGCGCTGCCAGCTTCCAACCCCCTCCCTTCCCGGGGGTTCCCGGCTCTTTGGCCTCTGTGCCCCGATTCCTTCCTTCCTGGTGCTCTCGGACTCCCGAGAAGCTGGAGACCCCAAAATCCAAGCCCCCGGGGCAGGCCCGGGCTTGTCGCCGGCACCACTTCCTGGTGGGAGGGGCGGGTTTCTCCTCTGCCCCCTCAGGCCAGGGGTCTGGATGCATGAAGCGTTCCCTCAGCCGCCTGCACCGGAAGAACGTAGGATACAGGCCTAGGCTCCCTGCCTTTTTCTCCATCAGGGACTCAGTTGTCCGGGTCCCTAACTGCCTTTTTCTCCATCAGGGACTCAGTTGTCCGGGCCCCTAACTACTGTATCTATTAGAAACCCAGAAGTGCAGGACCTCCTAGTGTTGTCCTCCCTCAGAGATCATGAGCTACCCTAGTCCCTGGATCCCCTAGAATCCAACAGTCCAGGCACCTCTTCCCTCCTTTCTCCTCTAGGGCCCACCAGCTCTGAGCAGATCATGAAGACAGGGGCCCTTTTGCTTCAGGGGTGAGTTTGAGGTGTGATTATTGCTGAGTGGATTTGAGGAGTGATGCCCCATTCTGATTTTGCACCCCCCAAACTCCATTCCCACTCTAGTTTCATCCAAGATCGAGCAGGGCGAATGGGGGGAGAGACACCAGAGCTGGCCCTCGAGCAGGCGCCCCAGGATGCATCCACCAAGAAGCTGAGCGAGTGTCTCAAGCGCATCGGAGATGAACTGGACAGTAACGTGGAGTTACAGAGGTGTGGCCCCAGGGGCCCCAGGAGTCCAGCCACTGGTCCCCTTCTCCCTCACTACCCTGGAGTCCTGGCTCTCAGGCCCCCCTTCTCCTAGGAGCCTGGAGTTCAGACCTGCAGCCTCCTATTCTCTCAGACCCAGGGGTCCAGCCCCCCTCCCCACACCTTCTCAGCACCCTGGACACTCAGCCATTCCCTCCTTTAGAATATTGAAACCCTCCCTCAGTCATTTTCCCCACATTCCTAAGTGTCCATCTCATTCCTTTTCCCCATGTTGGCCCCTTCTTTTTCACATCAGCTTGGCTTGAGCCTCAGTTTCCTTGTCTTTGGTACAAGGTGAATGTCAGGGTCTCTACACTCTGCCTGATTTTTTCTCCCCAGCTCTGGTTTTCCTCTTTCCCTGCAGGATGATTGCAGCCGTGGACACAGACTCCCCCCGCGAGGTCTTTTTCCGAGTGGCAGCTGACATGTTTTCTGATGGCAACTTCAACTGGGGTCGGGTCGTTGCCCTCTTCTACTTTGCCAGCAAACTGGTGCTCAAGGTGGGCGGCTGCAGGGCATGAGCCCAGGGAAGCTCCACTCAGACCTAGGAGGACCTGGGGGTTCTGAGGGCAACAAGCCCTGGGAAGCCCGTTTACCAGAGGGAATGGAGAGAGCTATGGGCTGGTTGTTTGCACCTTCATTTATTCATGGAGCAAACATTTCTTGGGCCTACTGTGTGCCCGACCTGTACTCGGCACCTGAGATGCAGTGCCAAACAGAACAGGCTAGGTCCCTGCTCTCTTGGAGCTCACATTGTCCAGTAGGGCCAAAAGAAGTAAACGAGGATGATGTAATGCAAAGTGGTTGGAACATTCTAAGAGCGAGTGACATTAAAGCCAAAGTTGTGGTGATCTAAGAAGATCGGGGGCATGGGAGGCATCCTGGGGCCACAGCAAGTGCAAAGGCCGTGAGGCAGGCCAAGGGGCTGATGCATTAAGGGAAGACTTTAAGGGGTCTTGTGAGGGCCCCCATAGTCGATGTTAAAGATGTTAACTTTGCTGTGAGCAAAAGGGGAGTGATTGGCTGGTTTTGAAACAGGAGAGTGAGGTGACCTGATTTGTAAATTTCAAGGATTGTTCTAGCAAGCAAAATGGTAATTGTACAATCTCAGCTGCAGGCATATGGCTGTTCACTGTGAAATCCTTTTAACTTTAAGATATATCGGGAGTGGAAACCCAACAATTTTGGGGAGCTGTTTTGGGTAGAAGAGAGTATGGGGTAAAAGCTGGAAAGCTGTGAGGGGGGCACCTATAGTAATCCTGGTTGATGACTGACTGACCTGGCGTCCACTGGTAGCAGTGGAGGTAGGGAGTAGATGTCTTAACGTGTTTGCCAGATTCAGCTGGTAGGGCTTGAATGTTGGAAGTGAGGGGGAGAGCGGTCAAAATGTTGATGGAGCTGTGTAAGGTATTGGGCACAATAGGGAGGAAGCAGTCAGATACATAAAGGGTGGGAAGGGGGAAGTTCAGGGAGTTGGAAAGTCATCTGCAAGGAGGTATGTCTGGTCCTACCTAGTTTGAAGGTCAGGAAAGCTCTCTCTAGAGAAGTGACATTAGACCTGACATGAGAGCTTTGAGGGAGGAGTAAAAATTTGCTTGGTTGAAGCCTATTTAGGTAGAAGAATCAGCATGTGCAAAGGTCCTGAGGCAGGGAAGAGTTGGTGGGAACGAAGATACGGAAGAAGGTAAATGACACACAGAAAAGAAGTGGAAAATTGGAATGCAGTCAAGTCAGAGCCTTCATACAGGGCCTTGTGGGCTGAGAGAGGCCTTTTGGTCTTTACTACCTGGGGAGCCACGGAAGGAATGTGAGCAGGCAATGGATAACAAGATCCAGTTGACAGTTCATGAGGCTCATTCTGAGTAGGAGTGGAAGTAGACTGCAGCAGGGTACAAGGGGAGGCAGAGGTGAGAAAGGAGGCTTGGGGCCATTGTCCCCAGACAGTGGGGACAAGGCTCAGTCTCCCTAAGGCCCACCCTACTTCCTGTAGGCCCTGTGTACCAAGGTGCCCGAGCTGATCAGGACCATCATGGGCTGGACACTGGACTTCCTTCGAGAGCGACTGCTGGGCTGGATCCAGGACCAGGGTGGTTGGGTGAGGCCCCCTAACCCCCTCCCCCACTCCTCGGGTCTTCGAAGCCCACTAGTGTTGCTCTCTCTGACTCTGGGTCATCAAACGGGGTCTGTAATGCCTTTCCTCACAGGTCTGATCAACTCCTCTAATTTGTCCGGTATCCACTGACCTGTTGGTGATCCCTGACCTCCCTGTGACCTCTGACCTCTCAGTGATCTCTGACCTCATTAGTACCTTCTGTCCTTCCTGGTGCCTCCACTTCCTGTGGATTCCCTCTAGTTTTTTGATGACCCTTTGACCCCATTATCCATTCATCTTAGGCTTTTGCCCCCACTCATGCCTTATGACCACCTCCCTCCCTGATTCCTCATGTGCTGGCCCAAGGGCTGCCCCTTGGCCCAGCTGCTGAAGTGACTGATGTCCCTGTCCACAGGACGGCCTCCTCTCCTACTTTGGGACACCCACGTGGCAGACAGTGACCATCTTTGTGGCTGGAGTGCTCACTGCATCACTCACCATCTGGAAAAAGATGGGCTGAGGCCACCAGCTGCCTTGGACTGTGTCTTTTCTGCATAAATTATGGCATTTTTCCGGGAGGGGTGGGATTGGGGGTCATGGGCATTTTTCTTACTTTTGTAATTATTGGGGTCGGGGGGCACGGGGAGGAGTGGTCTGGGGGGGGCAATAAACCTCTTTCAGGCCACACTTCGGAGTCTGAATCACTGAGCCCACTTGCTGGCTGTCTAAGGAGACCTGTGTGCTGACAAACCTTTTTTGAAGGAGCCTGGTGCCCTCTGGGTTAGTGATGAGTTAGTCTCAGCTCTGCCCTCCAGGAGCCTGGGGTCCTGAGAGAATTGAAGATCACTTGTGTGGAAGCCTGGGGTGTTGTGCTGGAGGCAGCACTGGGCAAGGCCAAGCCAGGCAGTGGAGCCTGAGGCTTTAGGAAAAGAGAACAGGGCAACAGGTCCTGGAGAACTAGGGCTTGGAAGCCTCTGCTATATGGACGGGAGGAAGTTGCACTTACTGAGGTGGGAATTGGGGCGGGGCGGTGGAGAGGCCTTGGGAGGAGGACTTACTGGACCAGGAGAGGGCTCTAGAGCCCTGTGGAGAAGCTAACTGGTCAGAATGCTGGAATCTGGTTCTGAGAGAGAGGACAAGGCCTGCACCGGTGCTGTGTGGTCCAAGGGGACGGGCTGGCCCAGTACCTGGGTGGGGCCCTCCAGGAGAGCTGGCCCTCGTGAAAACACCAGAAAAGCTGCCTTGTAGATTAGACACGGAAAAAGATATCAGAGATAAAGATCATTTGGTCATAAGGTCTGTTGTACCTTCTCTCTGGGTCTCTTCTCCAACCTCTCGGTCTTTCTTCTGTCTCTCTGGGCCTCTTGTTTTCCCCCCTCCAATGATCTACCCCTCACCCCACCCTCAAGATCTCAGTCCTTCAGATCATCTTTGTCCCCCCACTTCCTCTCTCTCCACCTGTGAGCACTTCTGAAGCCAGCTCACAGCAGGTGGGGCCTGCTGGAGGCTAAAGGTCTTTAGGCTGAGGTATGAAATTTGGTGAATGAGTAACTCAGGCCCCATTGTGACTGTGTGCCTGGGGCAACTGCCCCTCCCCCAGAGACTCCCCAGAGACACCAGGTCAGGGGAGAGCTGTAGGATGAGACAGCCTTGAGGGGAGACTGAGTCTACTGGCCATAAAGAGGGGACACTATGACCACAGGCAGGAGCCCAGGAAAAACATCAAGGCAGCTAAAAGGACTGTAAGATTCGGAGACCAAGCACACTCGCCTCTTCAGAGAGTGAGCCAGACCTGGTTCCCAGCCAGGCCTAGTTCTCAGGGTCCCAGCTGCTTTGCAGTCTGCCACGGACATGAGGTCAATCAGTGGCCCCACCCCGCCTCTGCCCGAGACCCTTCCTGCTGAGTTCAGCATGACTCAGCACTGCTGCTTCCCTGGCCAATGGCCCAGGCACCCCTTGAGGACCCCAGATAACAGCCTAGTCCAGCATCCCCTAGGTCAGGAAACACCCCCTCTGCCTGGGCTGTTTGGGGTCCCCCCCACCACCTGCAAAGCAGGCCTCAGGGGCTTCAGCTCCTCTGCCCAACCTGCTGGCTACCCCTTAGGGCACTGAAAACAGGGTCAAGTTCCTGTCTTTGTCTCCTTTCCCCCTCTCTAGGACATGGGGAGTTTGAGGGCAGGGTCCTGGTTTGAGCCAGCTTTGCTTCCTAGACACCAGCCCGCAACTGATAGACTTGAAAAAATGTACACTGGTTAGAGACCCATCCCATCCACAGGTCCCTAGACCTTGTTTCCCCCTCAGGACCCAGGGCTTCTCTTTGAGACCTTAGAGAAGCATGTGTTAGGCAAGACAGAGACTGCTTCAGAGCCAAAGAGAATTCCAAGTCTCTGGCTGCCCTCAGAATAGTCTCCAGGAAAAGTAACCTCAGAGAGACCCTAAAGCTTGAGTGTCATTTCATCCTACACTGTGGCAGCTTCCAGAAAAACAACAGGCCCCTGAAATAGCCCCAGGGTATTCCAAATGGCCCAATCTTTCAAAGGCTCCAAAGACGACCTACCACTTAGAAAAGCCCCTAGGAGGCTTCCAGAAATATCCCTGTCCCCTATTGAGGAGGGGGGGGCACAGGAGGACCCCAAGGCTGTAGAACTGTTCCTTTTAATCTTGAAGATGACTTCATGAGTCTAAAGACACACACCACCACCACCCCTCTCCCAGGGGAAGATTCCAGAAAATAAGGACTTCATCGTGAACTCTAGTGCTACAGAAATTCCCAATCTTTGAGTGAACCCCAGGGCTCCAGGTCCCCCCTTTTCAAACCATCTATCAGATCCCAAAGATTGCAGAAATATCTCACCGCACCACCTTCCAAACTTCTTAATGATCCGGGGACCCCTTATCTTCCAGAGCAAACCCCAGTCATCTGGAGGTCTCCGCACCTCTGAGAAACTTCCAAGGTGCCAGAAAGTCCATGCACTAAGAGAGAACCCTAGAATCCAACCTACTTTCCTGAGACACCCCCCCAGACCCCAAAGTCATAATTTTCCAGGGCTCCCAGTGTCCCCATTAACCTTTCACCTACCAGGGAGATCCCCACAATCTCCTGATGTCCCAGAATCAGCCCCAGGACCCTTGCACCCTGCAGTCCACCCCCCACCTCTGCTTCCCCATTTCACAACAGCCTCGCGCTACTGGCGCGTGACTTCCCCACTTCTGGGCGGGGGGTCTGGGATTGCTGTCAGCTCAGATTGGTCAATAGGGGTCCCAAGCCCCGCCTCCCAGCACCGCGGATTGGCCGATCGCTTTCCCTGAACGTCCCACCTCCGAGGGCCCGCGCGCTATAAAAGAAGCCGCCTTGGCCACAGCCTCTCGCAGTGCGCCCGGCGGTCCTGCGGATCTGTCTCTTGCTTCAACAGTGTTTGGACGGAACAGACCCAGGGACGCCCCTGCAACCAGCCAACGACCACCCTCCAACCTCTTTTCCAGTCGCAACTTTGGGAGCCATCTTCTTGGCCGCCCGCTGCCTCCGGGACCAGCCCACAGTCAATTTCGGGCTTACCTCCTGATCTTCAATCAACCATGAGCTCCCAGATTCGTCAGAATTATTCCACCGAGGTGGAGGCCGCCGTCAACCGTCTGGTCAACATGCATCTGCGGGCCTCCTACACCTACCTCTCTCTGGTGAGGGTCCCCAGGACGCCCCCAGTCTAAGTTCCCTCCAAGTGCGCACGCGCTGGCCGCCTTTGTCCCGTAGGGTAGTCGGAGGGCGGAGTCCGGGCTTCTGGCCGGCCTTTCTTCCCGCTAACCATTTTCCGCGCCTCCCTTCCCGCAGGGCTTCTATTTCGACCGTGACGATGTGGCTCTGGAAGGTGTGGGGCACTTCTTCCGCGAGTTGGCTGAGGAGAAGCGGGAGGGCGCCGAGCGTCTCTTGAAGATGCAAAACCAGCGCGGCGGCCGCGCCCTCTTCCAGGACGTCCAGGTAAATAGTGTGCGGGCAGCGGGCTTCTGGACGATTGTGTTCACTCTTGTGCGGCGCAAAATGGAGGCGCGCGCCCTTCCCCGAAGACACTGCAACGGGGTCTCCTGGGACGGGTGGTTGTAGGAGCCTGGAGGTGATAGATGCAAGCTCTTAGACGCTTTAGCGGACGATGTAGCTAGTCCTGAGCGCTCTGCCTCTCTACAGAAGCCGTCCCAAGATGAGTGGGGGAAAACCCTGGACGCCATGGAAGCTGCCCTGGTTCTGGAGAAGAGCCTGAACCAGGCCCTTCTGGATCTGCACGCCCTGGGTTCTGCCCGCACAGACCCCCATGTAAGTATCCCCTTCATCCGCATTTAATTGGGCACATTTCCCTTTGAGCCGCGTTTCCCTGTCTGTCAAGCTGTCGATGGATAAGTGGCATTGTGGTCTCTCCTGTCGCTCAGCTCTGTGACTTCCTGGAGAACCACTTCCTGGATGAGGAGGTGAAACTCATCAAGAAGATGGGCGACCACCTGACGAACCTCCGCAGACTGGCCGGCCCCCAGGCTGGGCTGGGCGAGTATCTCTTCGAGAGGCTCACCCTCAAGCACGACTAGGAGCTCCGGAGACCAGCAGCATCCTTTGAGGAGCCCTCGCTGACATCCATGCCTCAGCCTCTCCCTGCAGCCAGAGGCAGCTTTGTAACCACCCTGGAGCCCTCTCCCAAGCCCTGGACCAAATGGAAACAATAAAGCTTTTTGCAGCAGCTGGCGCTTTGGGTTGTGTTGTGCTTGTGTGTGTGTGGTGTGGGAACTGAGGGGGGGATCCACTTTCACAAGGCTTACAGCTGGACTGCCCTGGCGGGGAGACAGGTGCTGGCCCTGCAGACGATCTCTAGGGTTCTCTAAACCTTTAATCTTAATTTAGGAGTGGGGTGGGGTGGAGTAGCAGATTCCCTGCTGGGCCAGGCTGTTCAGCTGCCCCTCCTGCAAGGCAGAGATGAAACTCCCAAGGAGAGTCCAGTAGGACCTAGCTTGGTGGCTGGAAGCAGGCACTGTTAAAAATAACCAACTGTAACCAGAAATGGGCTCTGAAGAGTAACTTTGTCAAGCAGGAGCGCGTGATAAGAGACGCTGAGCTAGGGGCTTGGGGCACAGCACAGAAACGGGATGTGAAACTTGGGAACTAGGTCCTCCAAATGGGAACTGAAGGGTTAGCAGGCAGCTGCTGGGCCCAAGCTATGAAACTGAACTCTGACCCCCTGCACCCTCTCTGGTTTTGGTCAAAGAATCTAGGAGGTGGTTCCTGGACACCCAGCACCTGCTGTTGTCACCACACTTTGGTGGCCACTCGGTTCTGGAGGGGAGGTGTGTCCATCACTAACAGTTAATGGGGATGGTCACACATGCAAATCCAGTTTTCTATTCCCCTGAAACATGATTCCCCTGAAACA